GCGCCAGTCTAGACGCTTTTTTTCCGGCTTCCCCAAGCCGGAAAAAAAGCGGCGGACATGTTTATTTAAATCTGCGGGGGATATTTAAATCCCCCGCGGATTTCCCTATCCTGACTTACCTGCTTTGCATGGCTTTTCCGGAAATTGTGGCCAGTGTAGACGTAGCCTTACTGTTCTGGGGTAACATGGATATAATTTGGAATAACCAACTTCATTCACTTTACTGTAAATGAGAAAGAGGACTTCATTCCTTAAACTTCTAAAACCGTTAGATAAATGGTACAGCTTGAAGTTCCCAAGATTTAATAGGAGCAGCTCTTAGACTACACAGTGCTCAGGTGAGTGTAGATTTTAAAGTAGTGTTTAGAAATATCATAACAATGCTTTCATTGAAGTTGAACTGAATTTTTGATCTTTCCCAGTTGTGAAGCAACTTAATGTAAATCTAAGAACAATTGTCAGTGGAACAGCTTTCAAAAAGTTGTATAAATAAATTGTTTAACTTACTGGTATAATAAGTTGGCTTTTGAGAGCCAATTCTTTAATATCTCAAGGTCACACTTGGACCCCCAGCCAGTTGGAGGGGTAAAGAAGGTGGCTTTACATGGCACAAAAGGAAATGGGGCCAATCTTCAAATGTCTAAGTTTGTATGGGGTGCTGTGGTAGAGGCTGGGTATAATATAAAAGAAAAGCATATTAGTGGAGGTTAGTGTGCTAATTTTACTTAGCAACTTGAACTGCAGAGAATTTATTTTATAGTTAACTTCTTTTCAAGGCATTACTTCCAACACAAGCAGGAAATGTTTCTAGTACAATTCACCCTTGACTTGGGGGTGGGACCTAAACCGGAAGGGGCAGGGCCAGGATGCTTCTGGGCTTCCCCCAGACCCTGGATGGCCTGGGAGTGGGGGAGCATGTGAAGCTTCTTCCTGCCCTGCCAGGGGCATAGGTGCCTCATGGGAAAGGGGGGGTAGTGGGACTCCCCCAGACCAATCATGGGGAAGCTAAGAAGTATCCTGGCCCTGCCCCTTCTGGGGCAGCCTGGAGCCATTTCAAATTTTTAAAGTGACCCCTGCCAAAAATTATTGCCCACTTTGGTCTATGTACTAGTCTCTAGCTATACGATTTGGTTGTATGGGATAACAGGCTACTTTACCTCTGCAATTGTACACCTGAGTTAAGTATTAGCTTTTTAAGGATTACCCATTTACTTAAAGGTCAGAGTTGGCCTACTTATGAAATAATGGGCCATATTTATCAGGTCACTAATCAAAAAAGAGAAAGTTGTTAATCTTTGCCACAGGAAAACTTGCATTAAAATTAGTTTCACAACATCAGTGCTCATAATAGCATGCTATTCATGTGTGAGTATCAAACAGTTCATGTTATCAGTGCTCCTTTTTCCTTCATCCTATGCTCTTCAATTGCTCTATTACTGAATTTTTGACTTGATGGAGATAAGCACAGAAGTAAATCTGAGTGAACTGCTTTCCAGGCAATTCTGATACAGGAGTAAGTGCTTGAAGCCATACTTACAAATGGAATTTTGTATGCAATGCTATGAAGGACCATTGCTAAGTAGCTACAAGCACAAATGAAGAAATTAGATAGAGAATATTGTAGTGATGAGCCTTTTGCAGATTTAGTATGAATTTGGGAGACATTTAACAAGGCTGTACTTAGTGTTACAGATCTGTGAAAATGGAATAATACTTAGTCTTTATGCACTGTTTATAAAGGACCTTTGAAATCCTGAATGGTGTTCAGAACCTATAACTTACACTGAAGAGCACTGAATTAATGGCAGCTGGAGGGAAAGGTCAAATATGAGTCCCAATCTCATAAGTATCTGGGAGGGAGTTAATGTTGTAAAGTTCTTTTGAAGATGAAAAATGCTAACTTAATAGAAAAGCAGCTAATGTATACTTCTCACAAGTTTCAATATTGTGCTGCAAGACTTTGCCCTACGCTGATTTGCCCTTATTATTGTTCACTGCTCATATGGAATAAAGTACAGCAGCCATAGAAATCTGGATTTCTTTATATACATATACACCATATTTTAGCAAAATATATGAATAAAGAACCACAAGGAACTTTTACTATAATGAAGTGTTTGT